AAAAAATCAATAACTATTATTTACTTCTATAATACAATATATATCAATCATTATAATATGTACGTTATTATTAACTTTTACTAAAAAATATATATATAAATACAGATATATTATTTTTAATGTTGTCTTAGCTCGTATTTGATGTTATCAAGAGTCTTTATATTTTATTATCATTTATCAGAATTTAGATATTAAATAATCTTTCGAAAGTCTTTGTAATCCTCCGTATGAAAGTATTAATGTATTCTCGTACAACCATGCAGTTACTGCTTTTTATTGCCAGTTTAAATTGAGCGTGGGCAATCTTGTTTCAGACCCATTTCACCAAATCGAACGACCATGACCACCACAGAAAAATATGTGAGCAGTGGGCCGAGCGGTGGAGCGAGTGGTATACCTGGCTTAGAATTCATCGACTCGGAATTGCAGAATGTAAGTCTCTATTCCTAAACTAATTTCACCAAAATATTTTCAATTATATAACACAGGGAATTTTGTTTCCACTAATCAAGACAAAGCTGTCGATTATACGTAGCAATGCAATCACAAAATTAAATAAATATCAATAGGAAATATCGTTTATAAAATTCATCGTTTCTCTTTGACGAAAGGTAGAATACACTTTATAAATGTGTTTTATTAACGTTATATGCCACAAATCATTCCAGTTGTTTGTTATCAATTGACACGTATTATTAGTAAAATACAACAAAGCAGAAAAATTGAATAAACGTTAAATGAAAAATTACTTCGTAATAATTAGTTGTAACTTCAAAAGGTGTTGAAATACTTTCGTAAACCACTGCATGTATTAATTCTTAGTTGAATTACAATATTACCTTTTCACTCATCTCTTCCACTCTATGCGCCATCATCATCTCTTCAATACCCTATTTATTTTATTATATAGATGTTATATTTCCACAAATATTTGTCATATGTTTCCAAATCACTTTATTATACATTCTGACATCTGTCAGAATAGCTCTCATGTTTGCATCCACTCGAGTAAGAATACACTACCGCGATTTATACTTAAGAAAAGCGAAGCGACGTCAATTGAAAGTAAGACTGCCTGAGTGTGGTTCTCAGTGTTCGGTTCGAGAGCTACTTTCATGTGTGTGTACGATGCAATTCTCCGAAACTAAATCGAATAAGAAAGTTGCTATATTTGTCGAAACCCATACAATACGGCAATACTTTACATTCTTGACGAAAAAGTAGTACGTATTCAGGATTCTCCGGTTCTCGGACGATTTATGAACATTATTCATATTCCTTTATGTATAGTTGATGTACAAAGTATTCATACACCTCTTAAAGCGAAATAACTTTTCTATAATTATGCCAAGTGATCTGTGAGTGATGACCTGTTAGAGGGATTAGTTCACTAGACAATGGTTAAAAAATTGTTTCCAAAAATTGCAATTGGTTGCCATGATAAATGGATTCAAAAATTATGTTCAACTTTTTGATCTGGGCCTAAAACAAAAATTTAAAAAATGCATTTTGTAGATCTCGGTAACTTGTTTACATGCTCTTAAATACGTAGTTCTTACGATATTCCAATATTTATGAAAAAATGGATTCTAAATTACTTTTCTTTCTGCAAAGAATATTATTTGCTATACATTTCAGAATATGAATAAGTTTCAATTCAATTACATATAAAATCTTACTAATATTAATAAATTACGTAAATAAATATTAAAAAGATTTTGTAGAATGTTCATGTAAAAAGTGTAAGAATATGTAGCTTCATCCAATTTACGTCCGAGAGTTAAACGACTGTAAACGTTCGAGGTAAAATTATGGCAAAATAAGAAGCTAATTGTGTCATTCGTAAATAATGAATTTTTCATACGGGTGTCGCGTTGAAAAATTGGAAACGCGATAAACGGTGCGATAGGAGCGAATACATGCATACGTGGTATGAAGTATTTATGGTGCACACTAACGAGCGCGTAAACCACAGGCTTTCAAACTGGTATACAGCTAAAAGGTAAACTAGGACGTGAAGTCTAAGCAAATTATATCTCTTTATATCTCTGGTTTTTCTAGTTGAAGCTGTTATTCCGTATGCAAATGAGAATAGGCGGCGCCCATAGACGTGCGAAGGGCTTCAGGCTGAAATTTTATCCAGTGATCGCGGGATGCGCATAGCAAATTACACTCGTAACTAATCTACATTTTCATTGAATGCTAGATCACGGGGCAGGAAACTCGCAATTACCAACGATCCCTTTCACGCATAATTTAGCATCTTCCAATAACCAATATATCACGCTAAATGTCGGGCTTTGTGACATTGAGTACCGGAGGAAAACTGCTTTCTCTCGTTGTTACACAAGTAACGAATTCTTACCTTCTCTAGAATCTCCATTTAAGTACATGTACACTTACAGACAAAAATTAAGAAACTTTACATGTCGCTAAAATTCGAGTATTTCATATTTTAACAAATACAAAGCTCATAAATTAAAAGATTATACCATAGTAAAGCATATAACACATTATTTATACTGCAATATACTTTTATTTGGTGCATATGATAAACAAAAAGAATAATAAAAATAAAAAGAGATAAAATCAGAGTAAAAGATTAAAAAATTATAAAAAATAAAATTACTATTTTCGGTAGCATAATACAAATTTTTATCCTATGTTAAGAAGACATCTGTTGAAATTTTAGCCTCGAACAAAAATTAATCTATAGTTTACTTAGTAAGATATCTTCAGTTAAGATATCGGTTTACATTTCGCCGGCTCCGTCAGCGGGCAGCGACGGTGACGGAATCTGTATATATTAGATGCCGCGATACATCATCGCCGGTACCTTTTGATGTACATCGTGCCCTGACCGTCACGTATACAATGTAAGACGCGACAAATAAAACGTCTCTGATTGGTGGACACGACGAACCCAAAAAGAGTATAAAAGAAGCGTTTCTTCTTACCGGACACGTAGTAGAGTTTGATCGCTCGATCGGTTTCGCTCATATACCTTCTCTCATTAAGAGAATAAAATAAAGTTCTTTTAAGCAAAGTATTAGAATCATATTCATTTTCATTCCATAATCCCAAAA